TGAGTGGATTGTTTGAGACGAGTAAGAACATGTGGGTAAGTCAGTTTGAGGAGATACAGTGCCGTAGCGACTCCGGCGACGCTACGCGTCAGCGTCTCTTGTCGCACGCCGTAACGCGCGGACGCGCCGTCAATCAGCTTCGAGAATACTGACGACATTCTTCGTCTTCGTGTCTTCGTCGGATGAACATTGACCAATTACAAAATCTTAATAGCGCCCATCTCGCGCTATCACGAAAATTACGACGATGATGGTAATAGCGGCGCATCTACGATTCAACTCCGTTTCGTTGCAGTTCGTTGCAGTATATGCTATTTTAGACGCGAGCGAGAGCGCCTGTTGCGATCGTGCACACGCGGTTACATGAACGCATACACACGTGACCATTCGGGCCGGCCATCAGCTGGCAACTAATGCTTACCGCTTACTCTCGCGCGATGGAGAATTTACAGTTAGCATCATTCTCGCGCGTAGCCCTCTCCACGACTTCAGTTCTCGTTTCAATATATTAGCGCTTTGTGTGAGTTAAGTCTGGTTGCACCAACGTTACTTTGATTTTAAGCAAAACTTAAAACTCTTTCTATCTCGTTTTAAAACCGAAAAGAGACAGGAACAAAGAGAATTTTAAATTTCGCTTAAAATAAAATTAACGCAACCAGAAGTTAACACGAGTTAAATTTTCTTATTCGCTCAATGACACGCAATCATTTAAAATAATGATAAGCGATTCATGAATCAGCATTAAGAAGCAAGAATAAAAGATGAATTTATTGAATAATTCATAAATTGAAATTATTACTTTTAAAATAGATATTTGAAGAATTTCAAAGTTGTTAAGATTAAAATTTTTTTGAATTTCGATTTTAAAAATATTAATTTAACATTAAATTTTTGTAGAAGATTTTATAAGTTTTATATAAATTTATATTAATTTTTATAATAAATTTTTGTATACTTTTCTGTAATTTTGTGTAATTTATAATTAGATTTTCATTTTCTTTATTTAAATATTTTATAACAGAGTATTCTAAGGTTTCAAAATTTAATATTTTGTATATATGAAATATTATACAGTCTATATTTGCTTTAATTTTCTTTTATTTTAATTTTGTTTTTTATTGAAAAAAACAATAATAAGTACTTGATAGCTATAATAATATGCTGTTTAATATTGAAATGATTAAAATTACATATATTTATTTGATTTAACAATGTCTTCTTTGCCTATATTCAGATACATTTTTATAGTAATATTTTGTATCTATTAAATAGATAAATATATATACTTAAAAATATATATAATTAAGTTTATTATATTACAAACATTTAAAGAAGAAAAAGTAATAAAATATTTATTTCGTAAACTATTTTGCTATCTTTATTAATATCAACAAGTCTGTTTCTTTTTAATTATACTTTGTAATATTATTTATATATAAAATTTAATAAGAGAAATAATAATATTAATAAGCAATAGAAATTTAAAAAATAAATGCATACATTCATTCTTTACTCAATCTGCTTTTTCAACAGTTTTTTCACAATATTCATCATATTTCCTCTACATTTTAAATAAAATAAATAAAAAATAAATGAATTAAACAGAAATTAAACTAAAATGAGAATTTCTCCAAGCAATGAATTTAGTTTTGTCTAGCTGCAACGATCACTTGTATCATGTTATCGCAAGGTCAATGCTCTGTAGCTGACCGTATCTTCCTTTCTTGCTCAGTATATTTTATTAGTTTTCAGTATAAAATCGCTATATATGCTATGTTAAATTGAATATAGCATAAATACGATAGGTTTTATGTAGGTTTTAACTCAATAAAAATAACATAAAAATTTTGCGAAAAAAATAACATAAAAATTTTTACATTTTTTAATTAAAAATTCAGAACTGCACGTAAGTAGTAATCGAAAAATGAATAATTCTAACATGAGAAAATAAATTGAAAACGTAGAATAATTTTATTGTCAAATTAGGCTTTGTTTTAAGAAAACATTTTTTAACATTAACATTTTTTAATTAATTTTTTTATGTAGAATTATTTCCATCTCGATTGTATACAATTTTTGGAACATAGATATTGGCGTGTAAACTAAAATTTTTTTACTTTAAATTAAAAGAATGTAATATAAAAAATTAAATGAATAATAAGAAATTATAAAATTATTATGTATAATATAGAAATTCAATATAATACACACACACACACACACACACACACACACACACACACACAGAGAGAGAGAGAGAGAGAGAGAGAGAGAGAGAGAGAGAGAGAGAGGCAGGAAAAGTAGGAAAAAAGCGAAAGCGGCGCGCGTGAGAGAAAGAATAATTACTATAAGAAAATAATATAAACTGTGACATTTCATAGAAAGGATACCGCATTTTTAATTATATGGAAAATTATAATTGGATAGCCTATGTAGTAGCTTAGTGTAGCTTAAATTATAATATAATAGAACAAAAAATATAAAGCTCTATATGTATAATGAATGATTTTTATTGCTACAAAACTTTATATTAGACGATCTTACCCCCCTCCTCCCCTAAAATTATGATAAAATTTTAATTAGGCGACCTCGCCTCGATGAACTTGATCTTGATATACGTTATCAAGATCATGACCATGAGTAATTTGCAACAAGTTTTTGCTATCGCTCGTTATTCATTAAAAAGTATTAATCAAACAATTTTTATAAGTAAAAACATAATTTTTAAACACAAAGTAATTATTTCACTATACAGATTGTTTCTTAAAGATCGCCTACTACACATAGCACTGACTAAAAATTGGGTCGAAATATCCTGAGTCATTTTACAACATTCAGTAAAACAATTTTTTATTACTAAATAAAATTAATTTAATTATCCGGCGCTGTCGTTTAAACTTAGACGGGCGTACATCCGCATGAACTGCGCGCCTAAAGATGTGTGCTTATATATATTTGATCTCATATGTATATGAATACGCCTTTCCCGTTAGATAGAGAAAGAGGGAGAGACAGACAGACAGAGAGAGAGAGAGAGAGAGAGAGAGAGAAAGAAAGGGGTAATGCGTCATATCTTCTATTCGTTGCATAAATGTACGACGCATGTTCAAAATGTTATATGAGAAATAGAATGCTTCCAATAACTCAAGTTCGAGTTAGTTCCATTAGGACCGAAAAAAATGATAGATATAATTATCTAGAATACTTTCATGTTTCATGATGATTCTACATTTTCTTGTATTGTCATGAATTAAATTAGTTAGCTAATACAAGGAAATCAGAGAAGCAATAAAAAGTAATTTCGCAAAATTTTACGAATTGTGAGACGCACAATATGTTTTTATTATAATTTACATTAAGATTAAATTTATTTAAAGTTATAATCATGTAAAGTTATCCTAGTAGTTTTAAAATACGTTATTGTAAATTGAAAAAAATTAATTGTAATTATTTAACTTTCCGATAAATCCAAAGTAAAAAGAAATCGTATAGAGTTTCGAGTTGACAAAGACAAATTTTAAAACAATTTGTAAAAAGATTTTTTTTTATGTAAGCTATAATCTGATACGTTCTGACAAGAGTTATATCCCTTGTCAAAATTTCTCGAAAGAAGATGCTTCTGACGCAGAATAAGTTTTAATGCAAAAGAAAACTTTTTGCATTACTACGCATGAGAATATTGTACGCTAGCAGTGAAGACAACGAGCGGCAGAGCGCTCACCATCAGGTCCGCGATCCACTGACGTGCATCCATCTAAAAAACGGCGCCGATTAGCTTTAATAATAACGTTCTAAGCTCTGAACACTGAGGAAAAAACTTTTTTATATTAAATAAATGCGTTGTATTGAAATTAAATATTCTAATTAAAATGTTTATTTCGATTAGAAGAAAGTTTTATAATATCTAATAAATTTATTATTAATAAGATTAGAAACAAGACCATTTATATTAATGTATAATTCACACCTAGATACGAGAAAAGCGCCATTTTCGATTAAAATTAAATGTTAAACTAATACATGTATATGTAATCTTTAAATTCTTTACTGAATTTATATCTCAGAAATATGACTGCGCACCGACTTTCGGACTTTCAGCGTAATTAATTTGAAATATTAATAATTTTCCCAAATTTAATTAGAAGCATCTTAAAACCTGTAAAAAGCTTATTGCGAGAAATATTATCTCGGTCAGGTATCCAACCCGGATCTTCAGCATTCCGTGCAAACGTCCTCAACCCCGGTGGTCTAAAGTCTAAAGGTATTTTTTCATGCTCGATGTCCGTTTGCAGCGTCAAAATAGATCACGTGATCAAAATTGACACTTGGTATTCGACAATTTTTATCACGTGACCTATTTTGATGCTGAAAATGAGCGTCGAGCATTAGTATGAAAAGGACGGTGAGATCCCCTGCTTACGGGGTGTCTGATTTTCCATGCAAAACGTGATTTACTGCACCCCCTTCCCCTTCCTCTGTTTAAAATAGTTTATGATTCAAAATTTATACCTCCATATTATATGCTTTAATTAATTAAAATGACTTGCTTCCCGAAATTGAGAGAATGGAGTAGATCTCGCTTTACGTGGAAAACATGCTCCATAACCAGAGAGGGTTGGGTAATTCTTAACTTTGTATATAGCAGAATAAGAAATTATTTCTTAAACTTTTTTTATTAATTACTTTTTAACAAATTACGAGCAACGTTAAAGATCACTCAAAATTCATGATCTTGGTAATAATATATGTGAAAATCAAGGTCATTATGATGGTTCCGTAATGCAAGCTTTTACTTAAAAAAAACTGCATATTACTAGTCTCAACATTTGGACATTAAGATTTTCATCTCAAAATGATGTCAGGAATCTTAAGCATTGCTACGGTCTTTACTCTGCATACATGTATACATACGTGTATGTGTGTGTGTCTATGTGTATGAGAGGAACCCTATATATAAAGAACTCGTCGTACATGGTCTTCTAAAAAAATTGATACCTATGTTGAAAGCAACTAAGGATTTTAGTCGTACGGAGTGATAAAGTCATGGCATCCAAGGCATTTGTGATATTTGTATTGATCAGCATTTTTGGTTCAACTGATTTACTCTGGACAACTGTATCGAAAAGTTTAACTGGTCCAACAAGTAAATAATTTTTCGTACTTATAAATATTATTTATCAACCATTGTATTTAAAGATGTTAATAAAGCTATATTATAAAAATTATCGAATTAAAAAACAGCAGATTCTTTAAGTATTTTTTTATTTTAATGGCAAACAAATTTTATTCGTGAATACGTTTTGTAACTTCAAAGAAAAAATGACTGATTAATTGATTTGGCTATATAGCTTATATACAATGATCATGTTTTATTCTGCAATTTTAAATAAATTACTTTTGTAATATATCAGATATAAAAATAATAGAAAACATAATTTTATTCATAAATAGTTAATTCATAAATAAATTTAAGTAAAATAATTAATTAAATTTACCAGTTCACACTAATCATAATTTTTTTACATTAGTCTTAAGCTGCGTCCAAAAATATATAAACTTTAATTTAATAAACAATAATATCATCCAAGAATGATAATTACTACTCATTTAATTTCATAGAACTGCCAAGTTCATTTTAGCAAAAAGCCAAAATAATCATTTCAATTCATTATTAGCATATATTCTTGTCACTAATTCGATATTATAATACGAGATTTATCTCGTTCTTCTTTCTCAGACCTCTCTCTCAGAGAATGATTTTACTTGTAAACAAGTTGATAAGTAAATTGTCACCAAGTTGGCACTAAACTCGCTCAGAATTCAATGTTATCTGTATCAATATCATCAGCAACTCTCGTGTTTTGCTAGTAAATCTCGCGTAACTAGACAGCAGATTGACAGCAAAAACTGAACAAAACTTTGGTTTGTCTTGTTTTTGGTCGATTCTTATCATCAATTTGGTCAGCAAGTTTAGCATTATTTTGCATAATTTATTTTTATGTTACATCAACAGATTTTATTGTCCTCACTCTAATTTATTGACATTATTAAATGTAATAAAATTTGCATCAAAGATGCCTTTTTATCGACAAGAATTATAGCATTTGACATAATTTATTTTCGACAGATTTGGCTGACTGGATATTATATTCAATAAGGATTATCTTCAAGATTATCTCCAAGATTATTTATAAGATTCTTACATTTTTCCATAGTAAGTCTTTCGTCCAAAAACAATTTGTCTGCTTTGAACAAAGTAGGGTAGGATTCGACTAAATGCCTACATTTTTCCTCGAACCTTTTTCTTTCGTACTCTCTCTTTGACCCTGCCCTTTTCTCAATCTTCCTATTTCATTATCTCTCCTTTTACATTCTATATTATACAGGATGCCCCAACTTTTTGACACAGCCCTTGTATGCAAGTAGAACAGACTAAACTGATTTAAAGAGTCTTGTACTACAATTTTTAGAGATATTAGTTTTTAGATCTCATTCGGAGAAGTTAACTATTGCAAAAATTGCAGAATAAGTCGGAATTCAATTTAGTTTACTCTACTACGTACGTTGTGCCTAAAAGTTTAGTACACTTCGTATATTATTACACTTTTTTAAACGAGTAAATGAATTAAAATAAACAAATATTTATTAAAGTTTTATTATATTTATGTTATTTAGTTCGTAAATGCTACTTATAATGCTACTTTCTCATTACATTTTAAAATAAGTGTTAAAAACGCAATTGTATAAAAGACACAATGCAAAAAATCAAAAAATGTTTAATCCTCTCTTGGCGGGAAAAAAATTTTTATGAAAAAGTACAGAAAAAGTGCATAGATAGAGACAAGATCTTAGAAATTCTTAATTTTTCGTAGTGTAACGTAGAGTGGCATTGTTTGAGGTGAAGGATTTCTAGGTTTTTTCAAACAAACAACACCGCTCTATGTTCCATTATGAATATCTATGAGAAACTAATAATTTCTAAAATCTTGTCTCTATGTAGGTTTTTGTAAAAGTTTTTCCGCCAGGGTCATATCAATTTATGAATTTATGAATACTCGGATACTCATTTCAAACTAAATCTGTAAAAATGTTTATACTTTTGTGCGAATTCCATTATAATACTTCAAATCATATTGATCAATAAAAAACACAGCTGTTTTGTACAGCCTTTATCTCTTTCTTTTTTTTATATTTTTAGCAATTAATGAAAGAATTGAACTAATTTTATATAAATACGCAAACATAATAATAAAACAATTTATAAAAATTTTATACTTTTTGATAATATTTTAAGATGCGACACATAAGCTCGTCTTTAAGCTCGAGTGAAATGAGATAAAGCAAGGCTTTTTCGTCTATTTCTCGTGATTTATGTTTCTACAACAACACATAAATATTGAACATTTTAAGAATTTTATGCTTGTCATATCAGGAAGCAATCATGTAATGTATTTTAAATACAACATCACTACAAAGAATGTTGCTTGCTACAAATTTTTATATTATTTTATCAAGTTGAAACTGACGGAAGAACCCTTGCTATATATATATAATTATAAGAAAATTCATAATTTTATATTTATTATTTAACAGCGCCAAGAAATTGCATACCGGGAAAAAAATATTTTGATGGCTGCAACACTGATATTTGTATCTTCGAGGACAGAATTTCTTGCACTAACGAACAACGGAATTGGCTACGTGCTCATCATTTGATTCAAAAACAAATTGTTTCCTATCAGTGCCAGAAATTCCATCAATTGCTGATGTCTGTGCCAAACTATACACTTGATTGCGACCGAACTTGTTCAGATACGAGTTTAATTGTGTGCGATTAATAAATAATGTAATAATTGTTTCTTACAAAACGTTTAATTAATATGTTTCATATTATATTATAGAATAATTAGAAAGTCTGTATCAATAATCTTTTTAATCCTAAGCTTTAAATTCCAAACTTATGCAGGATTTCATTATGATATACAACTCAAAGGAATTAAATAATATATATTTTTAATGTAATAAGACTTTAAAGAAATAAATGAACATAAGTAAAAAATGTAAGCCAATGTAAACCAACAGTGGATGGTAATGTATAAAACTTGTGCGTATCATTAGCGATAATTGATCATTACAGACATTTTGACCACAATTTTGGTCATCTTCAGTGTAACAATGAAATGGTAATTATTGTTGAAACGTTTGTAATTATCAATTATTGCTATATAATAATTATTATTACTATATAATAATACACATATATATATATAGTTTTTACACACTACTATCGAGTGTTGGCTTTCAAAAAAATTGATTTATTAGATGATATTTTCATTAAAACAATGATAAAAAAATTTACCAAAAAATTTGCAACTTTGAAAATACTTTGATACACAAAATTTGTTTTAAAAATTAACAAAATATGTGTTATATTTTTATTAATTTAAATACAATACAATTAGAACATTAAATATATTTATCAATTCTATAAAATTTAATGTGACTGAGCCATTAAGCCTAAGCATATTATCCTTTATTAATTTTTATTTAGGAAAGTATATGAAATGTTATAGATTTTCAATAAAAATGAATTTATTAAAATCAAATGTCATTTTACGAAAGCTTATTTTTATAAGTTTCAAAATTATTTCTCTATATCAAATTCTATATCTCAAACTTAAGCATTTATATTAATTTGTTGTGTATGTGTTGGCACATTTTTTAATCAAATAAGTTACAAGTTTTTGATCCCTAATATAATCGCATTTGTATTTATATATTTGTAAAAATAAAATATTTAAACAAATAGTTTTGTTAAATTATATATGAATCCTTGATTTAAAATAATTAAGGAAGCATGAATTTTTTAATATTTTGTGAACCATTTAATTTATTAAAAAAAATTTAAGTGAGGATTAAAGATATTGTTGTTTAAAAACTGTATTTTTTTAACGTTAAAAGGATTCCTTAAACTTGAAAATAAAATTTCTTTCTAAGCATTAATAAAATGCTTCTTCAAATGTTTAAATAAACGTATTTTTTAATGAAAAAGGGTTAAGGAAAAAGGGACTTATTACTTAAAAAAATATTTATAAAAATATTTTTCAAATTTTTTTCCATGTTTTTTAAAAACATTTTTACAATCGTTATTTGTAGATCTCTGATCCATGTATAATTTAATTGATTAACTTAAAATGGTTCTTACTTAAAAAGTTTAAACGCAATTTTATCAGAGAAAAATGTTACTTCATTTAATACAGAGGACAATCCCTGTCACAAATACTGTGATATATCCCTATATATCTTATTCTATGTGCGTGGGTGGTTGGGTATATAAAAATAAATTATCCCGAAACCTCTTCAGTTAATTTATTTTATTTGATATCAACAATACGATTTATAAGTAACAGATTTATTGTGAATCTACAGGAATGGCGTTTTGCTTTGCTTAAATCCCGATATCTCAGATATGTTATATTTACTATACTGTTTCAGCCGATATACTGCATTTTACAATCTCGTTTTATTGTCTCTGGTCGTTCGTATTAGCGATTACACATGGTATTAAACCAAAGGCTCTATCTTCGTCAGTCAATTGGCTGTTTTCATTTACTGGAAAAATTGAAAATTCTAAGTAATATTGTAAAATATTCACAAAACTATGTACATTATTATAATGTAGTATAAAAGTGCGCATTATATACGTAATAGAATATCAACTTCTAACAAAATGTTCTTACAACATATTTAAAAAATGCCTACAGTTTTAGTAACTAACAATGAAACACAACCAACTGATTCCCTCCAGTTAACTTTGAATATGTTAAAATATTAGGTGTTGGAATTAATTCGTAGCGTTTTTTAATGAAAGAATGTTATTTATTTCACATGAGCATTAAAAAATACATTAATGAAAGTACTTCCCATCACTTGTAAAACGCTACGAATTAATTCCAACACCTAATATAAACAAAAAATGTTCGTTTTTTAAATACATGTTGAGTCACACGTTCACATTGAAATGCAGATTTGTCATCAATTATTTTAAAATTAAATGACATTTTGAAATTAAAAATGACGGATCCAATATGTAAAAATTCTCAAATTTAGTATGGCAGATTACAATGCTAAATTCTGTTGGCTTTGAGTGAAACTCGTTTTCCAAGAACTCTTTAAGTCATTTGTCAGATGTATAGTTAACAAGATGTAAATAAAAATGATCGAATCAATAGTATTCATGGAATTTTTCGAAGCACATGATAAGCCAGATCATTTAAATAAAAAAATTTTAATTTTGGATCCGCCATTTTGAATTCTGCTAAAGATTAAAATTTAGCTAAAGATTTATATATAATAAACGATTTTAATATTCTTTAATAAGACATAAATTAAATGCTAATTATTCCGTAAAAAAAAGTTGTTCTGAATGTGAACGCGTATGCGAAGATTAATACGATTAAAAAATTGTCACTTTTTGCACATAAAACATTTTTAGATTTTCAGATTGACTACATCGATTTTATATAGACGCGTCACAGTCGAGAATATATACCGACGTTAATAAAAAACTTTTAGATCTTTTAATATTTATTTAGTTTCTCAGATATTTTATTTGAATGCTTGTTTGAATGCTGTAATAATTATAATAATTGTAGATGAACTTAATAGCGACTCAACATTTATGCATTATCGTTAGTTACTTTTTCAAGTATTCCTTGATCGCATTGCATAATATAATTACAACTAATTCACAAAGGAAGAAAAGTTCCTATAAACTTTCAAAATTATCAACAGCAAAATAAGACTGAGAGTGCGATAATGAGAGTGCGACGCAGTAGAGCGCAAATAGAACGCAATTAATTTGATAACGTGAAGATTATACAAGTATTAATTCTGTTTACTGCATAGCACTTTCATTAACCTTGTTCTATTGTTGTTAATTATAATAAAATTGTGAAAGAAGTAGAGAAAGAACATTTTGTTATTTTGAATTTACTTACATGAATTTAAACATTTCTTTATATTCGTAAAAGTTTCCTCTGACAACTGTAGCCCACCCTTCTTATTAATGTTTTCTTTTATTTCTTCAATTATTTTGTCTATAACTAACTTGTTATCTAGCAACTGAAATAAGAAAAAAGAACACAATACGTCACCTGCACTTATGGGTTGTCTATCTAAAAGATTAATTGTTGGCTATCATTCTAATTAATATTTATTAAGTTTATGGCAATATACAGGGTGTCCCAGAATAACCGCCAAATATTTCGTAAGCATGTAGAACGGACTAAACTAGTCGAAAACTCCTTTATCATTTTGCAATTTTCGCAATAGTGAACAAGATATTATTAAAAATCGCCGAATATTGGTTTTCAATAATTTTTTACTCAAGTACTACTCAATTTTACAGAAAAACAATAAGAGATAAAAATTGTTTTTTTTTCTTTTCATGGAACTCTAAGAATTTTTTATCAATTTTGTAGTAGGTGCTGCATTTTTTTATATATTTGCAACTATTTTTATCAACATGAGAAAATGCGATACTAATAAATTCTGAAAAAATTCTCAGATCTCTACGAGAAGTAGATAAACAATTTTTGTCTCTCGCTGTTTTTCTGTAAAGTTGTATTTGAGTAAAAAATTATTGAAAATCAATAATTCTTATATTCGACGAATTTTAGTAATTAACATCTTGCTAATTATTGCAAATATTGCAAAATGGTAGAGGACTTTTGGATTCAGTTTAGATCCTATACCAGCACACAAAATATTTGGTCATCCTGGAACATTCGGTATATTATACATTATATTTTAGCCCGTGTAATTATTCATCGTAATCATGCTATTCTCATACGGCACATTTTATCCGAGGAATGTTTTTAAAACATAGAAGGACATCTTTTAGATGTTTTTAAAACGTTCCTTAGAAGTATATGCCGTATGAGTTGAGAATATATTTATTATCATTTATTGTTTTTGTGAATATCTTTTATTATGCATTGTTAAATAGATTTATTATTTTATTAATTATTTCATATTTGATTGCATCTCTAATACGTTCTAAGTTCTTTTTTGAAATATTATCAAAAAATCTAAACAAAATATAAAATTTAAATATTAAAATTTCAATTAGCTTTTATAATTTGTGTTATAAAAATAGACTATTTTTCACGCATTTATTACGTATCTTAACAAAACATGATTGGAAAAATAGTTATTTTATAATTGCTTCAATTTTACATTATATTTTTTATCAAAATTCTTTATGTCTAATAATTTATTAGTATAATAATTATTACAAAAATTATTACCAATTGTTTCTTTTTTAATCTACAAGTCTCAAATTTTTTGAATTTCATACGAAATTGTTTTGATTCTTCATTGGAATCCTTCTCCTCGAAAAAGACGCCAACCAACTTTTGTAACCCAGCAATGAACTCTTCTAAAAAAATTGTAAACATTATTTTTTAATTAAATATAATCCTAGGATACATTATAAATATAAAAGAGATTTTATTAAAATATATACATACGCAATTTTATTGTGCATTATTTAATGCTTTCTTCTAAATTTTTTTCGCAAAGATTTTGCATAATATTTTTAAAGTTATTTTTTATTCTTAAATTTTAAATTTCAAACAATAAATTTAAAGTTGGGAATTTTTAATGTATAATATTCTAAATTTCGAGTCCTAATAATAATAATAATGAGAAGATATTAAAAAGATTATATTGATTTGTAAATTTATTATTTCTAGATAATTTACCTATTTTGATTTCTCCTTCGTCCAGACATTCTTGGAATATCGATACATCGGTGTTGAATTCTTTTGCAACGTCTTCCAGGATTTTGTTATAATCATCTGCAATTACCTAAAATACAACCATATTACCTTGTACTTTATTAATATGACAATCTTAAATTATGATGATCACAATTATACTTGAAGTAGTTATATGATATAAAAGATATAAAATTATTTATACCACTTTATAAAAGAATTAGTACATAATACATTTTAACTCTTTCATTGTATTTGAAGTATAAATATAGTACCGTATTTGAAATATAAATATAATTTGTATTTTGTATTTTATATTTCAGCGGAGTACACAAAAGCATTTTATATTCTATTATATTTCAAATATTAAGATTGATAGTATTTATATTTTGTATACGTATTTTAATTAATTTAAGTAATTTAATTACAATTAAATTATTTGTATTATGAGTCTTCTAAAATGAATATTTAAGTTAAATTTATTGTGATACTATTATTTCGGCTTCGATTTAGGACTGTGTTTGTTTAAGACCAACAAATCAACAAAAAAATAATCAGTGCACAGTTAACTTTAACTGGAAATTGTATAAATTAACAAAAAGAAAAAAATATATTAGACACGAAAATTAAACTTCGATAGAAGTTGGTCTTTTTCACTTACGTGTGTTTAATCTTATCGATCGATTTTACTCAATACATAATTGCTTTTATTTTGTATTTTAAATACTTTAATGATTTATAAACTTCGTTTTTTTTCTATATTTAAGATTTATGATATCGAAAAAATTTTTCCATATATTTAGTTGAAAGAAATGACCCGCACCAATCTTATGGGAAAATGTCTTTCTGCGGATTTGGCTAATTTTTGGATATGTTGTAATTCTCTTCACTCTGAAACAAATGTCTCAATGGGCACAACTTGATCCTATAAGCCGTTTCCTTTATAAGTTTTGAAAGGTCCAGTAATCATGTAAAATCTAGACCTTTCAAGGCTTATAGTGCGGAAACGACTCATAGGAAAGTTATGTCCATTGAAACGGAATTAAGAGAATAACATATCTAAAAATTAACTAAATCCACAGAAAGACATTTTCCCATAAGCTTGGTGCTGGGTGCTTCAATTTCCTACAAAAAAGTTCTGTTGATATTTTTTCGTATATTTTGCGTTATTTTCGAAATATATTAAAAATAATAAAAAATGATATTTCATTAATATCTCCGAAATGCTAAATTTAATAACATTTCTTTTAACTTGTTTACATGTCGAATATGATCGTATGAATTAATAAAAATTGTATTAAAAAATTCCTTTTAAAAATCCCTAGGCAATAAGTTGTACAATATAATCCTAATTTAAAGCTTTCTTATAAAATGTATGATATTAAAAATTAAGAAGTAAATAATTTCTTGTATATTGTAATCCCTTCAATAATCCATTTGTATAAAATGTTCTATTTAAATACGTTAAAAAAAGAATCATGTGTATATTATACGTATATGAAAATAAAATGAACTTACGGTAGCAATTAACGCTAAAATGAAAAACGTAAGTGATCTCTTCATTTTTCTACGTTTCAGAAATGAATAACTTGCACAAAGTTAATCCGACAACTGAATACATTGTATTTCTATGGCTCATATTTATATTGTCTACAGTATTGTATATGATATTACATCATTAACGTGTGAGAGAAAATGCTTTGTATAGAAATATACATGTTCGGAAATTTGCTGAAGCGCAATTAGTATAATTGGCCGACATATCAGATTTGTATAAGTTTCGATGCATTGAAATACTGCGCAATTACAATATATTTGCTTCATTGTACATGCACGTATAAGTGGAAATTAGATATATATCAGTGTGTCGTATAGGTTACATTCAGAAAAAACACAGCATCATAAAAACTGTCACAAAAACACATTTTTATATAAAACTGCTATTCAATCGAGAGAAATAATTAATAATGTATTATAAGTAAACACATAAAAACACTAGATAGAGTACAAGTTTTAGCACATATAAATAAATATAAATATATAAAGAAAATAAAATTTTACATTATCTTTAACTTTAATATATTGTTGTTTAATACATTGTTATTTAATAATTATTATTTTATGTAAAGAATATAATTACAATTGTGATTATAATTGCAACTCTGCAATCTAAGATTTGAAAATACATAAAATGCTTATAGTACCAATTATATCTGCAAAAGTTATTTTGAAGTATTAATGTGATTAATACAAATAATATTTTGTATAAGAAATACTCTTATTAAAAACAATATAATTTTGAAATATAGGATTGCATTGCACATTCACTGATAAGCCGATTCACATTCACAGCTTAAAAATTATTCCGTCTTTGTTTACCAAATGTTAAACAAAGACTAATGCTCACGATATAAACGTTGTAAGCCTCAATTGGCTGCGGCTATAAATAATGGATAAAGAAGAATAGGGATTATTATGAAATAATAAACGATAAAAATAATGATAGTAAATTACGAGTGATAAAAGTAATAATGATAATTATAGTTACTGCTCGAGGTCGATAATATGCTGTTTTGTTACAGCACACATGCCTTGCGCACTTATAATAATTATACAAACTCTTTAACTTGATCTGGCATATTGTCGGATATATTTCATGATAAATGGTTTTAGCGAAAGTGAAACTAGCATTGTGGTCAGTTCGGAATTGATTGCTAGATAATAAAATCTAACTGAAGTTACGAATAACGTGTGCGTGTTCATCATATGACTGATTTATTTTTTCCAGAATAAATTTATTAGTATGTTTTATAAAATTTCAATGGTAAAGTGTCGTATTGGATAAAATAATTTAAAATAATTACATTTTTATTGTTGACATTTATTGTAAGAATATTTCAGAAATATTAGTTTTGATAAAATTTTTGTTTACATATCGTTTCATCTTTATTTTATTTTTATAGAATGTAAAAAAATAGAAATAAAGTGTTTAATAAAATTTTTCAATTTCACAATGTTTGTAAATATTTTCTAAGGTCTTATTCTCTTTTCGTAGACTTGATTTTGACTTTGATTTAAATTTTAAATAGAAAATTTAAAAATCTTAACTTTCAAATAAGAAAATTGAAAATTGTGAAATTTATTGTTATGAGAAAGTTATCTTTAGTCTTTTATACTTATTTTCAAACCTTTTTAAAAGGCATTATTATACGATAATCACTTTTATAGTTAACTATTTGCCATAATCTTTAAAATGTCACCCTTTCCAATATTTTGTTCTAATCTTTCTTGTTTCATCAACAATGGAACAATTTTATGCTGCATATACAAAATACTTTTCACCATTACAGATTGTTATTATATAATCAGTGACGTAAATTGCTTACGTTTATGAAATTTCCAGCTTTATTTTATACACATACATACGTAAGCGTGTATAGAGGCATAATTGATCTCCGCATAAGATAAACGAGATAATTTGAATTATAGATTATTAGAAATTTTCAAATTTTTATTAGAAATTGTATCAAAAATTGAAATCAAATAATATATTTAATTAAACGTACAAAATACACTATAATGCAATAGAATGGCTGTATTGCGTTGCACGCGTAATGCCCATGATGTATCATTTTATCATTGTTTAACGTTCTACGAACAAGGATAACATGATTAAAACATCAAATGATAACAACACGTAGCACACGTCTCAGGACATTGATTCACGAGGTGGGTGTCAGTTGCATCCTCTCATGTTTCCTTCCGTAACTCTATTAAATCTATTGTAATAAAGAATCCTAAGGATAGGACGTAACAATAGTTTCTAGAATAAATAGATCCATTTGAGTATTAAAAAATATTTATTGAGCATATACTTACATATTATAGTGATAATAATAATCATTAATGATAAAAGTGGTATAATCATAATCAATTAGTGGTACAGATTTTTTTAACAAATAACACATGATTTAACATTGATTTTCTTAAATGTAATTTTTAATAAATTTTTTCAATTTGTATCGGTTTGACTAGCATTTTAGAAGAATATCATCATTAGAACTATCGCGTTAATTACAATATCAGAAAGAAAAATAAACATGTTTTCGCAAAGCTTACGATATGTTATAAAGTAATAAATGCATATAATAAATTATATAGGTTAATTTATAAATTGCTAACTATTATTACATGTTTAACAAATGCATAAATTATAAAAGACATTAAAAGAATGCGAAGTTTATTTATGCGATTCTCTAGCAAAATATTTCTAGCATATTTCTGCAAATTTAAAAAATCAGTTTTTTCTGAATTTAAATAATAATCAACATTTCTTTATATTTTCATTATATGCTGTTTATACATTATTGCACGTGTAATATTATCATTCTTTATCTTGCAATTTTATTGACACGTATAAGTTACACACAGCCTTCTAGATTTAAAAATCTAGCCTAGCAAATTCTTTTGCGGGAAGAAAGAAACAGAAGAGAGAATCTAGCAATCAAGCTGATGTTATTTATCGTTATTTTGATATCAAAATGACATCTGTATTATCAAAATAGCGTCAAAAAGACGACAAATAACATTAGCTTATTTGCTGGAAAACTGCATGCGAAAAATATGAATGAAAATTTGTCTACTTGCAATAATAAATAAACGTAAATATACAAAATTTTCCTTAGAATACAAATTGCTTATTACAGACTCTTATCAGAATTTACGATTTTTCATCTTACAGAAAATACGTGAAATAAGATATCTAAGCTAATTTTTTCTGCTTTCTATTCTAAATTTTGTACAGGATGAATCAAGATGGTTTTTCATTAGTTAAATTTGTCATTATTATAGAAAACGTATAGCAATTTGCACGTCATTTTATATGTATATTATGAAAAAATGTGTGTATTATTTTTTCTCAAAATTGGGTAGTAACTAGTTAAAACATTAAAAGTTAAAAAAAAAATTAAAAAGTTAATAACTTTTAACTTAACTTAGTTACTTTTAATTTTAAATGCATTAAATTTTAACTTAACTAAGTTACTTTTAAACGTTAACTTTTTAACTTTTTTTTTAAATTAAAAATTTTTTAATCTTTTTTAAATATCTTAGAAAAATAATAACTAAGGGCGTATATTCATATTTTAATACCATCTTAAGTAATTTCTTAAGATGCTAATACACTCCTCTGATTGGTTTATGCAGTTATGCCTTATGCCATAAGCCTTAGGATCTACAATAGGTGTTTTAAGCCATAAGAAATTGACCAATTACAGTCAAATATTCTTCTCGCATTCGATTGTATTTGGTCAATTTCTTATGGCTTAAGACTTATTAAAAAGTAATCACTGGTTTTGTATCTTTTCTATATGCTGTTTTTTGAAAGTTATATAACTTATATAGTTATATCGTTATATACTTATATCACATATAAATAAAAAAATTAAAAATTTAATTTATTTAATAATCTATATTGTAGTTATTTAATCTCATTTTAAGAAAAATTATGATATTTTGATCTAAAAAATAATTTTTAGATCAAAATTAACTTTTTTTTTAACTTAAGTTAATTCAATATTGATTTAATTTACGTTAATTTTTTATTCTTTTAACTTAACTTTATTAATTTTGTAAAGCCATTAACTATAACTTTATTCAATTAAAAAAAACATTAACTTACTCAACTTTGCTTTTTCTATATATATATATACACTCACACATTCACATGCACATGCGCATGGTATCTGATAATTATTAAGCAGCACTTGTGGATAGGTAGATCAGATTAAACTGACGAAAAGAGGATACAAATGATTTATTAGGTGGGGATTTTTATTTTCTTCAATATAATAAATCTATATCGAAAATAAGTTGCATCCGAGTGTTTATTGAATGAATCTTGTAAATAGTTTTACTGAATGGATGTAAGCTCTGATCCATGTGTAATTTTATTGATTAATTTAAAGTTATTCTTACGTAAAAAGTCATGTTTAGACGCTACTTTATCAAAGAAAAATGTTGCTTCACTTAATATGGAAAACAATCCCATGTCCATGAATACTGTGCTACTTGTACTGTGGTTATGTTGTTCTATGTGGGTGGTTGGGTATATAAAAATAAATTATCGAAATCCTTTCATTTAATTTGCTTTATTTGACAGTAATATCATTTATAAATAACAGATTTATTGTGAATCTATAGAAGAATGGCGTTTTACTTTGCTTAAATCTCGATATCTCAAAAATTTTATATTTACTACACTGTCACTGTATATAATGTATGTATATATATATATGTATAGGAAATATTATGATTTTCTATCCAGCCGATATACTGCATTTTACAATCTTGTTTTACTGTCTCTTACCGTTTAATGACCATAAAAGCACTGTATTAAACCACAGGCTCTATCTTCCCGAGTCAATTGGTTTTCGTTTACTGGAAAAATTGAAGACAAAATTCTAAGCAATATTGTAAAATATTCATAAATTATGTACATTATTATATCATATATGTAGTATAAAAGTACGCATTATGTAATTCGTATTAGAATATCAATTTCTGACATTTGCACAAAACGATTGTATTGTACAAAAACGTATTTAAAAAATGTTTACACTATTTTAGTAACTAACAATGAAACGCAACCAACTGATCCTCTCTAATTAATAAATTTTGAATATGTCAAAATATAAACAAAAATAAATATTCGTTTTTTAAATACTTACATGTTAAATTACATGTTCACATTGAAATGCAGATTTGTCATCAGTTATTTCAAAATTAAACGACATTCCGAAATTAAAAATGGCAGATCCAATATGTAAAAATTCCAAAATTTGGTACGATAGATTAAAATGTTAAGTTTGGCTTTGAGTGAAACTCATTTTCCAGAAGCTCTTCGAGTTACTTGTCAGATGTATAGTTAACAAGATATAAATAAAAAAGATCGAATTAATAGCATTCATAGAATTTTTTTGAAGCACGCGATAAGACAGATCATTCAAATACAAAATTTTTAATTTTGGATCCGCCATTTTGAATTCTGAAATTTGACTAAAGATTCATAATAAACGATTCTAATATCTTTTAATAAGATATAAATTAAATGCTAATTATTCCTTAAAATAATGGCAAGTACGAAACGATTAAATTTGTTCTGTGTATGAACATGCATATTGATATCGAAACGCAAAAAATTGTCATTTTTTGCACATAAAATATTTTTAGATTTTCAGATTGAATACATCGATTTTATACAGACTCGTCACAGTCGAGAATGTATACCAACGTTATATAAAAAAGCTTTAGATCTTTTAATATTTATTTAGTTTCTTCAGATATTTTTTATTTGGTAGCTTATTTGACGTAATAATTGTAATGATTGTAGATGAACTTGACAACGACTCAACATTTATGCATTGTCGTAGTTACCCTTTTAAATATTCCTTGATTGCATCGCATAGTATAATTACAACTAATTCACACAAAGGAAGAAAAGTTCCTACAGCTCTCAAAATTATCAACAACAGAATAAGATTAATAAAATTGCAGTAAATAGAGCGCAATTAATTTTACAACATATGAAGACATATAAATTAATTACACTCTGTTTACTGCATCGCACTCTCATTAACCTTGTTGTTAATTATAATAAAATTGTAAAATAGGTAGAGAGAAAATTTTGCATGCTATTTTGAGTTTACTTACATAAATTCATACATTTTTTCCAATTCGTTAAAATGTCCTCTGAAGGCACACCTTCCCTACTGTCTTCTTTTATACTTTCAATCATCTTGTCTACAGCTAACTTCTCATCTTCCATCTGAAATAAAAGAAAAAAAACATAGTAAGTCATCTGGAATTACGGATTGTCTATCTAAAAGATTAATTATTGCCTGTCATTCTTATTAATTTTCATTAAGTTTATCTTGGGCAATATACGGGATGTCTCAGAATGACTGTCAAATATTTCGTAGGCAAGTAGAAAGGACTGAGTCGAAAGGTCTACTACCATTTTGCAATTTTCGCAATCATGAACAAGATATTACAAGTCATCGAATATTGATTTTTAATACTTTTTTACTCAAGTAAACTATCAATTTTACAGAAAAACATAAGAAATAAAAATTGCTTCTTTTTTTTTTACATAAAACTCTAAGAATTTTTTATCAATTTCGTAGGTACTGCATTTTCGGTAAAACTGTAGAAAGAAAAACGCTTGCCAATGACCTTTACATATGTTGTCATCACTCTGAGTAATCTCCAACAAATTTTAGCCGTCGCTCGTCCTTCGTTAAAAAGTTATTAATAAAAAAGTTTAAGAAATAACGTATATGATTTCTTTTCCATCATATAAAACAAAAATTTTCTGCTTTAAAGTATATTTTATAACTTTCCACGAGAAGTGACTCCCACCTCCCTCCCCTGCTTGGGGTCGTACGATTTTCATATTCTCTTATATAATTTTTGTTCTTAGAATAAAAAATTTTTTTTTGGTTTACTTTGTATACATAGTTTACGGTGCGTGGTTTTGGTTAGGGTTAGGGTTATTATATACCCATGGGTTATATACCCATAATAACCTAATCCTAACCCGATACATGGTTTAGTTAAGTCTGCTTGAGAGGCGTACAACTTCCATGCGAAACGTGGAGGTAAGATGGAAGTCGTTTCGCATAGAAATCGTACGCCCCCAAGCAGGAAGGGAGGTGGAGTGAGAGTTGCTTCGCATGGAAATCGTGCGAATGGTGGAAAACTTTTCTGCAATTTTATCACCTTTTTGTTATTTTATATTGACAACTTTTTTTACCAACATAAGAAAATGCGCTACTAACAAATTCTGAAAAAGTTCTCATTTATAAGAAGAAAATAAACAATTTTTGTCTCTCGCTATTTTTTTGTAAAGTTGATAAGAGTATTTGATTAAAGAATTTTTGAAAACCAATAGCGAATTTTAACATCTTGCTAATTATTGTAAAAATGGTAGAGAACTTTTCAATTCAGTTTAGTCCGCTCTACTAGCACACGAAATATTTGGCGGTCATCCTGGGATATCCGGTATATTATATTAGATGTAGTAAAAAGAAATCCATTATTTTTCTAATAGATGGCTTTAGTAATCTGTATCACGCGTAGACGAGATACAGATTACTAAAGCCATCTATTGGAAAAATAATGGATTTCTTTTTACTACACCTAATACGTTATATTTTAGCCCGTGTAATTATTTATCATAAACGTGTTACTTCCACATAGCACATTTTATCCGCGAGATGTTTTAGAATGTAGAAGGATATCCTTTAGATGTTTTTAGAAAGTCCCATGGAAGTCTGTATTGTATAAGTTGAGAATATATTTATTATTATTTATAGTTTTTGTGAATATGTTTTATTATGCATTATTAAATAGATTTATTATTTTATTAATTATTTCATATTTGATTAGTCTAATACGTTCTGAGTCTTTTCTGAAACATACAACAAAAAATTTAAACATAATACAAAATTTAAGAATTAAAATTTCAATTAACTTTTATAAGAAATTTGTCTTACAAAAATAGACTATTTTTTATACATTTATTACGTGTTTTAACAAAACATGATTGGAAAAATAGTTATTTTATAATTGTTTCAATTTCGCACTATATTTTTTATCAGAATTTTTTATGTCCAATAATTTATTAATATAATAATTATTACCATTCTTTCCTTTTCCAATACACAAGCTATAAAACCACAAGATCGTTTTGTTTCTTCTTTGGCGCCTTCATTCTTCTGCTCCGTGCCATTCCAATTAAACGTTTGGAACCAAGTACTTAATTGCTCTATAGGAAATTGTAAACATTTTTTTTAATTACATATAATCCAAGAATACACATTTTATATATAAAAAAGATTTTATTAAAATATATACATACGCAATTATTGTGCCTTATTTAATGCTTTCTTCTAAATTTCTTTTGTAAAGATTTAGAAATTGCATAATATTTTCGACATTATTTTTTATTCTTTAGTTTTAAATTTCAAACTATAAATTTAGGAATTTTTAATGTATAATATTCTAAATTCCGAGTCCAAAATAATAATAATAATAATAATAATGAGAAGATATTAAAAAGATAATATTTATTTATAAAAAAAAAATTCGTTATTTTTTAGATAATTTACCTATTTTGACTTCTTCTTCGTCCAGACATGCCTTTAATTTTGGTACAGTGGTTTTGAATTCTTTTGCTATCTGTTCCAACTGGCTTTCATCATCACCTGCAATTATCTAAAATACAACCATTACCTTGTACTTTATTAATATGGTAATTTTAAATTATGATAAACACAATTATATTTAAAATAATTATATGACATAAAAAATAAAAAATGTTTATATCACTTTATAAAAAAATTATTGCATAATACATTCTAATTCTATCGTTGTATTTGAAGTACCATATTTGAAATATATTAGGTGTTGGAATTAATTCGTAGCGTTTTTTGTATATTTTGTATATTTATATTTCAGCGGAGTATACAAAAATTCTATATTCTATTATATTTCAAATATTAAGATTGACATTTATATTGATATTTGTATTTTGTATATGTATTTTAATATGTAATTTAAATAATTTACTTGCAATTAAATTATTTACAGATTTGTATTATGAGTCTTCTAAGATGAAAACATTTAAATTACTAAATTACTTGTGATACTATTCCGGCTTCAATTCGATTTAGATTTGCGTTTTAAGACAACAAATAATCAGTGCTCAGTTAACTTTAACTGGAAATTATATAAATTCACAAAAAAAAAATATATTCACGAAAATTAGACCTTGATAGAATGGTCTAAATTTAATAGCATTTCTTTTAACTTATTTACGTGTCGAATGATCATATGAATTAATAAAATTGCATTAAAAAATTAGTTCCTTTTAAAAATCCCTAGTCAAGCTGTACAATATAATCCTAATTTAAAGCTTGCTTATAAAATGTACCATATTTAAAATTAAGAAGTACATAATTTCTTGTACATTGTAAATTCTGTAATAATCCATTTGTATAAAATGTTCTATTTAAATTTTTATTGAAATAAGTTACCAAAAAGAATCATGTATATATTATACGTATATGAAAATAAAATGAACTTACAGTAGCAATTAATGCTAAAATGAAAAACGTAAATGATCTCTTCATTTTTCTATGTTTTAGTGATAGAAATGAACAACTTGCACAAAGTTAATCCGACAACTGAATACATTGTATTTCTGTAGCTCATATTTATATTGTCTGTGTCGTATATGATCTTACATCATCGACATGCGAGAGAGAATGCTTCATTCAGAGATATATATGCTCGGAAATTTGCTGAAGCGCGATTAGTATAATTGGCCGACATATCAGATTTGAATAAGATTTAATTGTAATACTGCGCAATTACAATATGTTTGCTTCATAGTACATGCACGTATAAGTGGAAATTAGGTATATACATCAGTGCGTCGCATATGTTACATTCTGAAAAAACATAGCATCAAAACCTGTCAAAACCTGTAAAAACACAGTTTTATATAAAATTACTATTCGAGAGAGAGAGAGAGAGAGAGAGAGAGAGAGAGAGAGAGAGAGAGAAATAATTATTATAAGCGAACACATAAAAACACTAGATAGAATACAAGTTTTAATCAGCATATATAAATAAATATAAATATATAAAGAAAATAAAATTTTACATTATCTTTAACTTTAATATATTGTTGTTTAATACATTGTTATTTAATAATTATTATTTTATGTAAAGAATATAATTACAATTGTGATTATAATTGCAACTCTGCAATCTAAGATTTGAGAATATATTATATACATAAAATAATGCTTATATTAATATAGTTATATCTGCAAAAGTTACATTTTGTAGTATTAATGTGATTAATATAAATAATATTTTGTATAAGAAATACTTTTATTAAACAATATAATTTTGAAATATGGAATTGTATTGCACATTCACTGATAAGCCGATGTTCGCAACGCTTAAAAATTATTCCATTTTTGTCAAATGTTAAACAAAGACTGATGCTCATGACATAAGCATCGGCCGCGGCTATAGATAATGAATAAAGTAGAATAATGGATTATTATGAAATAATAAACAATAATAATGGTAGTAAATTACGATGACAACAGATGATAAAAATAATAACGATAATTATAGTTACTGCTCAAGGTCGATAATATACTATTTCGTTACAGCACGCGTACAATAATTATACAAACTTAATCTTTAACTTGATCTGGCGTATTGTCAGATATATTTCAATAATAGTTTCTGCGAAAGTGAAACTTTTGTGATCAGTTTTGGAATTGGTTGCTAGATAATAAAATCTAACTAGAGAGATAACGTGTGCGTAATCATCAAATGACTGATTTTTTTATTTTTTTCCAGAGTAAATCTACATTATTATGTTTTATAAAATTTCAATACAATAGTAATATGTCGTACTGGATAAAAATTTTAAAATAATTACATTTTTTATTACTGACATTTATTGTAGGAATATTTCAGAAATATTGGTTTTGATAAATTTTTTATTTACTTATTGTTTCATCTTTATTTCATTTTTATAGAATTTTATAATGTAAAAAAAAAATAAAAATAAAGTATTTATAAAATTTTTCAATTTCACAATGTTTGTAGATATTTTCTAAGATGTTATTCTCTTTTCGTAGACTTGATTTTGATAGACTTTAAATAGAAAATTTGAAAATCTTAATTTTTAAATAAGAAAATTGAAAATTGTGAAATTTATTATGAGAAAGTTACCTTTATTCTTTTATACTTATTTTCAGGCTTTTTTAAAAGGCCTTATTACGATAATTACTTTTATAGCTAACTATTTACCATGATCTTTAAAATGTCATCCTTTCCAACATTTTGTTCCAATCTTTCTTGTTTCGGAACAATTTTATGTGATGCTGCATACATGAAATAACTTCCACCATTACAAACTGTTATTATATAATCGGTGACGTAAATCGCTTACGTTTATGAAATTTCCAGCTTCGCTTTATATTTTATACACGTACATACATAATAAGTATACACGTATATATAGAGGCAATTGATCTCCGCATAGGATAAAGCAAGATAATTTGGATTATAGGTTATTAGAAATTTTCAAATTATATAAAAAATTGAGACTGAATAATGTATTTAATTAAACATACAAAATATATACTATAATGCAATAGAATAGCTGTACGCGTTGCATGCGTAATGCCCATGATGTATTATTTTATCCTTGTTTAACGTTCTACGAACAAGGCTAACATGATTAAAACATGAAATGATGCCAACACGTAGCGTACGTCTTAGGACATTAATTCACGAGATAGGTGTCAGTTGCGTCCTCTCATGCTTCCTTCTGTAACTCTATTGAATCTAATGTAATAAAGAATCCTAGGGATTGGATTAATAATTTCTTAAATAAATGAATCCATTTGAGTATTAAAAAATTTATTGAGCATATACTTACATATTATAGTGATAATAATAATTATTAATGATAAAAGTGGTGTAATCATAATCAATTAGTGGTACAGATTTATTTAACAAATAAAACGTTGGTTTACTTAAATATAATTTTTAATAAATTTTTCCGATTTGTATCGGTTTGACTAGCATTTTAGAAGAATATTATTAACATTAGAACTATCGCGTTCGTTATCATAAAGAAAGATAAACATGTTTACGTAAAGATTAAGATATGTTATGATGTAAAAGCATATAATAAATTATATGGGTTAATGCGCATTTATAAATTGCTAACTATTATTACATATTTAACAAATGTATAAATTATAAAAGACATTAAAAGAATGCGAGGCTGATTTATGCGATTCTCTGTAACAAAATACTTCTAGCATATGTCTGCAAATTTAAAAATTCAATTTCTTCTGAATTTAAATAGTAGTCAACATTTCGTTATATTTTTTATTATATGCTGATTATAAGGAATTATACATTATTGCACATGTAACATTATCATTCTTTATCTCGCAATTTTATTGACACGTATGAATTACACACAGCCTTCTAAATTTAAAAATCAGCCTAGCAAATTCTTTTGCGGGAAGAAAAAAAACATTAAGAGAGAATCCAACAATCAAGTTAATGTTATTTATCGTTATTTTGACATCAAACTGACATCTGTATCGTCAAAATAACATCTATATCATCAAAATGACATCTGTATCATCAAAATGGCATCAAAATGACTATAAATAACATTAGCTTATTTGCTGAAAAACGCATGCGAAAAATATGAATGAAAATCGGTCTACACATGCAATAATAAATATATGAAATTTGCCTTAGAATACGGATTGCTTATTACGGATTCTTATTAGAATTTGTGATTTTTCGTCTTGTAGAAAATACTTGAAATAAGATATCTAAGCTAGTCTTCTTTGCTTTCTATTCTAAATTTCGCACACAAATCAAGATGTTTTCTCATTAGTTATATTTGTCACTCGATATCATAGAAAACGTATAGCAATTTGCACATCATTTCATATGTATATTATGAAAAAATGTGTATATTACTTTTTCTATATACATATACATACGCATATATATATATATATATATATATATATTATATATATATATATATATATGTGTGTGTGTACATATATATGTTTATACAAAATAATTCATTTTAATTTTAATACACAATGTTTCGAAAAATATAAAAGATACGAAAAACATTTTAGGCAAAAATGGAATGATTTCGAGAGGGACACATTTTAATTACATTATTTATTTTTCTAAGTAGAAGCGACAAAACGATAAGAAGATAATTCACTTTTTTTAAATAGAATTATATGACCTTTTTCATATAATATGATTGTTCTAATTATTCTGCCTATAAAAATTAAGGTAGAGATATCAAAGATAGTATTAAGATAGAGATATCAAAAAATTAATAGTTTACGACATATTTAATATTTTGTCAAAATATGTCAAAATATGCCAAAATAAAATATAAAATACCTCGTAAACTATTGATTTTTTTATATCCTACCTTAATACTTTTAAATGTAGAATAATTAGAGGAATCATGTTAGGGATGCACCGAATATCCGAGAAATATCCCATACTCGGCCATCCTACACCTTTTTATTATCCAGCCGGAGAGTCGAATATCATTAATATTTGATAATATATCCTGCGGAAATTTTATATTAATAGTTTTCTTCATTTATGCAGAATTTTATTCTTTTCAACTGAATTTCTTGTACAGTTCATCTTTCCTCTTTTTTTGTTCACGTTGGAAAGATAAAGAAAATTATTATCGCTATTTTTCCTTTTTTTTGAAAGCTTTCTTCCAGATATCCGGCAGGATATCTGGGGAAATATCCGATTCAATCAGATAATTGGTCTACTACCAAATATCCGATTCAATCGGATAATTGGTCTACTGGATATCTAACCGGATATCGGATATCCGAAAAGAATTTGACGTCGGATATCCGTATCTGATATCCGATAATTTAACGATCCCGTGCAGCTAATATTAAGTAAAAAAATAATTCCATTTAAAAAAAAAAGAATGATCTTTGTGGTGCTTTCATCTGGAAAAAAATAACATGATCAAAATATGTTCCTCTTGAAATTCACTTTTGTCTGAAACGTTTTTTCGTATCTTCCATATTTTCCAAACTATTTGTTAAAATTAAATGAATCACTTTATATGTATATTATATATATATATTGTGTGTGTGTTGTGTTGTGTTGTGTGTTGTGTGTATAGGATAAGCAAAAATACTGAAACTCCCTTGAATATCGGAAAATATAAGTTTTTACAGAAAAGACAAAAGTTGTATGATTTACATAACTTTTTTAATAGGTTGCGTTCAGAATCATCATCCAGGTGCACACCCAGATTTTGTCTTATCCTTGTTTAAGTTAGTGAACAATTAGGATTAAGGTCTAGGTGCGATGATTCTGAACGTGGCTGTAGTCTTATTGGTTTGACCTTAGGTAGCGTCGCCAAGTGAAGATCAAATCGAATTTTTTTAAATAAAATTATTCTCATTTTTTATTGCATATTCTTGTAGATTATCTCTGCAGTGTTTTCAAAGCATTATAACAAAATATTTTTCCATTAACAACTTTTGAAACACTTTTTCGTAAAACTTACATTTTCCTAGATATTCCTAGATTTCGGTATTTTTGCCTTACC